TATGTGCTTTGTTTGAAAAATGTTTGTCATGTTCCCGACTTATGCCATAACTTGATCTCTTGTGCTGCCCTTGAGGATGACGGGTTAGAGGGTAAATGGGGTAAAAGGGTTATGAAAATTATGAAAGGTGCATTGATTATTTTCAAAGCTGAAAAAAGGAAAAACTTGTATGTTTGCACTGCTACTTGTGAATCACATGCTGAAATTTCTGTGAATGCTGTTCATGAGGACCAAACTGATATTTGGGGTGAGGTTGTTTTAGCTGCTGCTTATTTGATAAATAGGTCGCCTTCTGTGCCTTTGAATGGTAAGTGTCCTGAGTTTATTTGGTCTGGAAAGGAAATTGATTTTTCAAACTTGCGTGTTTTCGGTTGTACTGCATTTTGTCATACGAAACTTGATAAAGTTGAACCTCGATCAATGAAATGTGTTTTCTTAAGATATCCTGAAGGTGTTAAAGGTTATAGATTGTGGCTTAGAAGTGTACCCGGCTTTAAGGTCGTGATAAGTCGTGATGTTGTGTTCAATGAATCTGAAATGCCATGTTTAAATGCTTCTTTGCCTGCTCCTTTACCCGATGAATCTAAAAATGCTCCAAATGCGGTGGAGCTATTGAGTGGTTTAAGTGATTTCGAAAATTCTGAAAATTTGCATGCTGAAACTGAAACCGAACGTGCTGTGTTTGATAATTTACCTGCTGAAATTGCTGAAAATGTACCTGTTTGTGCTGAAACTGAAAATCAGCATGCTGAAAATGGTGAAAATGTCGATGTGCATGATGAATATATGGAAAACGTGCCTGAAAATGATGTTGATTTGCATGATTATCAACTTGCTAGAGATAGGACTAGAAGGGAACGTAAGAAACCTTCTAAGTTTGATGATTTTCACATGACTTCATATGCTTTTGGTGTTTTCGAGTCCATTGATAATTGTGAGCCTAAGTCTTATGAGGAAGCCCTAAAATCTGTGAATTCTTTGCAATGGATGAATGCTATGCGTGAAGAAATTAATTCGTTGCATGTGAATCATACTTGGTCTCTTGTTCCCAAACCTGATAATTGTTCCTTAGTGGATTACAAATGATTGTATAAGATTAAACAAGAGAATGATTCTGTTAGGTTTAAGGCTAGACTCGTAGCAAAAGGCTTTACTCAACGTGAGGGTATTGATTATACCGAGATTTTTTCTCCTGTTGTTAAATTCACCACTGTGCGTATCATGATTGCATTAGTTGCTCATTTTGATTGAGAATTGAAGCAAATGAATGTTAAAACTGTTTTCTTGCATGGTGAATTGGATGAAAAAATTTAAATGAAACAACCTGTCGGTTTTGTGGATGCTAAGAAATCTAATTATGTGTGTTTGTTGAAGAAATCCTTGTATGGCTTGAAACAATCTCCTAGGCAATGGAACAAGAAATTTGATATGTTCATGCTTTCTTTAAAGTTTAAGAGGAGTTCTTATGATCATTGTTTGTACTTTAAAGAAAATGCCAATGTTCCTGTTTTTCTGCTCATTTATGTGGATGATATGTTGCTGGTCGGTCCCTGTATTAAGTCAATTGAGCATGTTCAAAAATGTCTTAGTGATAATTTTGATATGAAAAACCTTGGAGATGATAAAAGGATTCTTGGAATGAACATTATTCGTGATAGGAAAAACTTTGTGATTTTTCTTAATCAAATTTCTTATGTGGAGAAGATTTTGAGTAAATTTTCTATGTCGTCCGCAAAGTCCGTGAATGTCCCTCTTGCTGCCCACTTTGTGTTAAGTAAGGATCAGTCTCCCAAGTCTGATTCTGAAATTGATTTGATGAAGAATGTGCCGTATTCAAATGCAATTGGTTCTGTGATGTATCTCATGGTTAGTACTAGGCCGGATATTGCATATGCTGTTAGTTGTTTGAGTAGGTACATGTCTAATCCGGGTATGCCTCAGTGGGAAGCTCTTAAGTGGTTGTTACGTTACTTGAATGATTCTATGCATGTTGGTCTGAAATTTTTCTAGTGTTCTGAGGGTGTTAAACTTGTTGGCTATGTTGATTCGAATTATGCAAATGATAGAGATAATAAGAAATCAACAACTTCATATGTGTTTACTTTGTGTGGCTCTTGTGTAAGTTGGAAATCACAACTATAACATATAGTTGCTTTGTCGACAACCGAATCTGAATATGTGGCTGTGACTGAGGCCTTGAAAGAGGCTGTTTGGTTGAAGGGCCTCTTAAGTGAAATTGGTTTGCTTGAAAAAGATGTGTTTTCCGATAGCCAATCGGGGATTCAATTGTATAAAAATCCTGTTTTTCATGATCGCACTAAGCATATAGACGTTAGGTTCCATTTCATTCGTGATATTGTGTCTAAAGGCTTAGTTAATCTTGAAAAAATTGCATCCGAGTTTAATCCCGCTGATATAGGAACTAAGTGTTTACCTGTTGAGAAATTTAGATCATGCATGAGAACCTTGAACTTTGATTCGTGTGATTGATGTGCTTGTAATTAATGTGTGTGCTAGGGTAGTGTACTTTGTGTTTGCTACATGTTTGATACGTGTGCGAGCTTCGTGAAAAGTGCAGGTGTCATAAGGCGATGATGAAAGTCCTCCGGTCCCTCAAGGTGTTCGGCATTCGGTGGTGGGCCAAATCGGTGGAGAAATGTTGGGAAATTTGGCCCGAAAACCAAATCTCTATCTTAGGCCCAAGGACGTCACGGCCCAATCTCGCTGGGCTTGGCATTTACCCACTTACCTGGCAGATTAATGTGGACCCTTGGATTTAGGGATTTAATCCCAGCCACCCATCATACACCTTAAATACCCCCTCTTGCCCTAATTAGATGAGAACTCTCACTTTTCTCTCTCTTGAGCTGCTGCGCAAAAACCGATCTCTCTCTCTGTGAGAAAAACCGATCGATCTCTCTTTTCTCTTGCTTTTTGTTCTCTGTGACCTGTGAGCGTGAGTGCAGCCGCTGAGACCCGTCGGAGTTCCGCCATTGTGCCGTCATCGTCGCCTAGCTTCCCGTCGCCGGATAAAGCTCTTGAGTGGGTTTTTCTGGCGAGCCTCTGTGCATAGGCGAGGCTTTGCGACGGTGGACCTGGTGCGTGGCTCGTGAGGAGGTACAACCCAAGGGAACGGGCTAAGGAACCGGGGCTGCCGGTCTTGACCACCACCGAGCCGCGACTTACCGAGGATGCCGGAAAGAAGGACGATCTGAGCCGGAAGAGACGACTTCGTGTCCCTCTTCTTCAGTCGTCGGTGAAAGGGAGTCTTTCGTTCCTTTTCTTTCATTTCCTTACTTTTCAGCTATTACTCTTGATTTGTTCTTGTTAAAGTTAGCGAAATTAATACATGTAATCACCATTACTTTGTGTGTTTGCTTTCAGGTTGATTCGGGCTAAAATCGGGCTGTGAAGGAATGAGCTGGGATCAGCCCGGAGCAAACGAAGGTTGTCCGGGAGTCCACTGGACACGAGCAGCATCTCCGGGAGACCTATAAGGGGCTACAAGCGGTTAGACGAGCTCAAGACAAGCTTCCGGTGCCAATGAGTCGAGGGGTGGGTTCGGGACGGCCACACAACAATATTAAAATTTTATTATTCAATAAAAAAGGAAATTGATAGATATAGCAATTTTTATATTTTAAATTATAATTTACAAATTCTTACAATATTCTTCATAAATTAAATATTCTAATCAAAGTAAAGATCTAAATATATTCCCGTAAATATATAATGAAGCTAAATATCCATGCTCTGTGTGTGTACTTTCAAATTTGTTTTGTTTTTCATAGAGTTGGTGAAAAATTAGTAAATGCAACCTTTACTAATTAACCTCTTAATTGAATTTCAATAAAAGGGTAAGGCTACAATCCCGTTGCGGTACCATTCCGTTGGGATTTGTAACCGTTAGATCAATGGGATTGTAGCATTTTTCTCAATAAAGATGAGGAAAGAAAAAATTATGCGAATGAGATTAATGATTATTATATTTTATTTTTATATAATTAAATGCTTTATTTGGAAAGCCAAAAAGGACGAAAGAAAGAATATTCTGATTAATGAATAAAGATAAAATGCCTGTTACAAAATCGTACATTAAATTAAATCAAGTTAGATAAATGTACATTCAAATACTATTTTGAAAGGTTAGAGCGTCTCCAATGCATAAATGTTGTTATCACATAAATTTTGATAAATTTTAATTATTTAGATGGATTGTGAACTACATAAGATATTTGTTATATCACAAACTTTAAATCTAAAAAACTATCTACAATGCACAATGTGATCAAACATAATATTGTCCACTTGGCAAAAATAAAAAAAATTATAAATAAGAAACACAAAATTAAATAATTTAGATATTTTGAAAATGGTAATAATATTTCTCACTCATCTCTCAATTGGTTGATTGAAATGTGAAAGAGAATATGGATGAACCACATTCTTCTCTACATTGTGGACATTAATTATGTCCACCTCATCACTACATTTGTGATTACATTGTAGGATTAAAAGTGAAGATATTGCTAAATTTGTTAAGATAAAATGTAATTTACTACAACTACATTTCATCATTGAAGATGCTCTTAGATCGTATTAGGATATGATTCTTAAAAAAAAAAGTAAAAATATTAAGTAGGAAAGTCCCGTAAATATGACCTTTGTACTGCCACTTTGTCTACCACTTCGTAACACGCATAGGTCATAGATGGATGATATATTAAATATAAACAACGCTGCATAAGCAAAAGCAAAATTCTATCTAGTTTTATAGAAGAATATTAAAACTTGCGAGTTCATTCAAGTCTTTCAGTATATAATTAAAAAGGATGCACAAGTCTTTCAGTATATTATATACAGGATGTTCATCCTTAAGAATTTTTAAAATCTATACATGAAGGCATAGGTTGAACTTCTAACCTTAAATGAGATCAATAAAACTAATTTTTTTTATTTTTATTTTTTTTTGTTTTCTACAAACAAAAAGTAAAAACAATATGCAAGTTTTACACTAACTAGTACAAAATTCTCTTCTTCTCTCACTCTCTCTTATCTTTACTTCACATGTATATTAAAAAAAAAAATTAAAGCTCACTCACAATTCCTAATTTCCTATAACTATACAACCCCTCTTTCTCAACACGCTTTCTTCTGTTTTCTTGTTTCAATTGCGGCCGAATTCCGTCTCAACTTATGTCCTTCCATGTTTCTACCTCTTTCTTCATTCTCCAATCCATCTTTCATTAGTGACTGCTGATAGTACTTGAAGGCCACAAACAACATGAACACTGCATCACAAACACGTATAAATAATTGATTTGGATTATTTAGTTAATGTGTGTACTGTAAGAGGACCCTTGCAATATTTTGATTTATATTCAAGACCTATACATTGTTGAGTATGAGTTCTCTCTTGTTTTATAGACGTTTTAGGTTGTTAGGAATTAGGATTCTCTTCTTTTTTAAGTCGTTTTAGGTGAGGATTTTCTCAAAGATGACTGATTTTATTAGTAACTAGAGCAAGACTAGCATTATTATGTTTTTATTAATACCAGTACAAACGCCTATGAACTGCACGGGCGTTTCATATAAAAATAATTGTGGAACAGAAAGAAATGATTTGATTTTGAATTAATTTATTTTTTTCTAGTTTGATTATATTGTAATAATATTTTATATTATACAGTTTTCTTCCCTCATCAAATATATTTTAAAATATCTTAAACTTTACAATATTCATAAATTTAAAATATAATGTGTATCAGTGTAATATTTTAAACTTTACAAAATACAATAAATATGTTTTAAATTTAATTATAATGTTCATTTAGTTTTTTATTTTTCAAGACCATTATAATGTTAAATCTCTATGTAGTCTTTTTTAGGTTGAGATATAAACTTTAAAAATATATTTTTATATTAATTTGATGTTCATACTTAGTTTATATATTTTTTTCAACTAAAATAACTATTTTATGGTATTTTAAAAGTTAATACACATAAATTTCTTTTACTTGGTTTATTCAATAATTTTTAATTTAGTTTGAAAATAAATTTAAATTTATTTATAAATATATATCATATATGAAAAAAAAATACGAACAAAAAAATTATAAAATTTTAAAATAAGAAGAAGAAACGTTTATAATAAATGATGCATGAATTAAATAAGAAAACGAAACGTATACGTAGGAAAATGAAAGGTAAATAGTTTATAGTAATCAATCGTAGAAGAAAAGAAAGAAGAGTAAATCAGAATAATATGGACATCTATATCTATATATATAAAGAGGAGCAACAAAGCATTTAATTTTATTACCATGCATTAAATTTTATTCTCATGTACTAAACTTTAATCTCCCTCCAAAATTTTCAGCATTCAATTTCATTTTTAAGTTACAAAATAACTTGCTTGAATGCCATAAATTACGAGCATAAATCAATCAAGGAAATTACAAAATTGTACTCAAATTTTAAGTCACACCCACTCATAAAAATGGCCGGGTGTATTAGCATAAAGAAAATGGTTGTAACGGTTCTTCCATAGCAATTACTTGATCAAAATCAATTTTGAGAATTATTTTCTTAAATTTTTTTTCATGAATTAAGTTATGATTTATTTTTTATTTTTTTATATTTTTATTTTTTTAAAATATTCGTCTCTGTACAAATGCACAAGTTGATTACCAGTACATATAATTGTTGGCAAGCTTCATTTAATTTTATTCAGCTTCAATTAATAATAATATGAGTTCATTTATTAAAAATAGATTGCATTTAATAAAATTTTTTATGGCCTCCATCCAAAAATTGTTACAACAGATTTTTTTTTTTTTCTTTTAATTTATTCTATACAATCATCCACTTATTTTTTACTATATTTTAGATTTGTAACGGTTGCATGTGATTAACATTTTTTATTTCTCTATATTTGGAGAATGTAACTGTTTACAAGATAATGTTTTAACCGTTAAATTTGAATGGTTAAAAATATTTTTTTTAATTTGTATATTGACTATTCACATGCAAAAGTAATATTAACTATTGATGGAACTGGAAGAGCTAGCTAGCTGAAAATGAGGATATGTGGGAGTGGGGACCCAAGTGTGCTTGTTTCCCCTTTTTCCTTACCATGGTAAGTCTTTGTGAAATAACTCCGATGAGAAGAAAAAAGAAGGCTATAGATATAACCAAAATATATATAAGAAAAGTCATCTTTTTTAATAGAGATTTTTACACCAGCTCATTCAAATTCAAAATTTTCATGCAAAATTGTACACTATATTAGTTGAATTTAATGAAAAATAATTGTCCATTTTATTTTATATAATAAATATAGTGATGAATTTGGATACATTTATGATGTTCATTTTTAGTAACGACAAAATTTTTAAAATGTAAACTATTATTTAACTTATAATTTTACAATTATACACATACAAGTAACTTATAAGTTATAATAATTTAAATTTTTGTGCATGTGCACGGGATCAAATACTAGTTAAATGGAACACAAGCCTAATTATTTGGAATAAAAATTGTAATTCCGGAACATGGTTTTTTGCCATATAAGATTTCAAAGCATGAGTCTGGCACTTAAGCTCAATAAATTCGTGAATTACATATAGGGAGATTGTAAAAAGAAATAAATGTTAGTTGCTTACTTACCTGCCCATATTCGAGTTGTAATCGATGAAAAATTCCAGACAAGAGTGAAGATGGCTAATGCAACTGCTTTCTTATGAGCACATGACTTCCAAGCATCTCCAAATCGTTGAACCCAAAATGTACCTTCAATTTTGTAGTTATTTGCAACATTAGACTGAGTATTCGTGTTTCACATATTGTTTTGAGAAAGTGGGACTCAAATAGCACGCACATGCACACACCATTTAAATCTTGCTGGCAATTATGAAAGACAGGAAAGGAAAAATAACCTAATTAATATTTGCAATTTTTTAGTTATATTAGTTGCGTGTGAAATATTTTTATATGACATTATACTAAGGCTGTCTTTTCTAGATACCGAAGTAAATGACAACAAGAAAAAGAAGTTCGAAACTTAACTAGCTAGATGTAGAAGATGGCCTAAAGAAGTAATTTCATTTTTTTTCCTCAATTGCAAAGTTACAATATTCAGTAGATATGAATAATATTGTTTACATTATCTTCTTTCACTTTAGAATCCTTAATTGGTATCTTTCAAACCCCCAACTTCACTTTAGTATAAAAAGG